GTGGGATGGCCGCGCCCCGCTGAGGTGGTTCTGCTGTCAGCGCGGTGCAGTTCGCTGTCGCTGATGGAGGGAAGGACGCCAGCACCGCACCCTCCGCCGGAAACCCCGTCGGGACAGTTGTGTAGCTCCCAAGGGCACGCGTGTTCGTGTGGGAGCCCCTAAGCCACGCTTCGCCCAGCCTCCTGCCGCTCTTCAGCCCACTGAAATCCATCGGAGAAGAAGGTGAACTGCAGTAACGTGACCTTTTCTTTTTATTTAAATCTGCAGAACGTTTACGGTGTAGTTTTACTGCGGCGTATCACTGTCAGAAAGATACAGTGCAGGCAGGGTCAATAGGGCAGCTTGTTTCCTCACCTGTAATTCACTTCAGGCCTTCCAGGGAGTTGCTGAGTAACTACTAGTCATTAAAAAAATCATTCTCATTAATTTTCCTGTGTGGGCGTGGGGCAGAATGTGTGACATCATTACCTGACCATGGCAGTGAGCTATCGCGAACCAGCAGGGTTTCAGCAGTAGGATCAGTTAAAAGGAAAACATTCCTTGAGAGAGAGAGTTTATTTAAACACGGTGATCATCAGCGCTACAGACCACATTTTGCTCTGCAGAAGTACTGAGAGGTGTATATTGCAGGCTTTATGATAGTCTTCCCATTCAGGAGTGCACTGTGAAGCAGCTATAGGATTACTTTGAGCTTTTGCCATCTCTTTCTTAGGTCTCCAGGTTGTATTTGTAATATGTGGAAGTGCCTGTGTAGTTCTACAAACTAAGCAGCTGCTACCTTGTTGTAATTGGGAGGGTGGGGTGATAAAAGCTATATGAGGTTTATGAAGCGAGGTGAAATGGTTTTTTTGACTAACGGATGCACTAAGAAAAAATGAATGAGCTTTGGAGCACAGGAGTCTTCACTGGGGCCCCAAGTTTGGCTGTTTTCTCCAACTATGTTTGCAGAGTTACGTGAAAGTTTTACTTAGCCCCACAAACACCATGTATTGAGCAGATGTTTTATCAGCTCTCTTCTCATAAATCTAAACCAGAGGCGTTTGTACATCTAAACTATCATGCCCCTGCAATGATCAGCCAGTGTCATCTCCCAGTTAAAATCAAAGGAAAGCAAAGGGTGTAATAGTGCAGGAACATTGAACCCAGTTGGGTCCAAGCTGTTATCAGGTGTTGTACTAAACACTTACTAGTGATGATACATGTCCTGGGGAGTTCTTGTCCTAATCTTGGGGCCCAGAAAGTTCTGGACACATGCTTAACTTTAGAAACATTATTAAATCACTTTGTTTAGCCATCAAGGTATATGGAGGTCCTTGTAGAATCTGTCTAGATTCGCTTTACAGTAGACAAAAGTTCGAGCCTGCTAACCCCTGACTCTTTTGTGATGAGACTGGGATGACAGAAAATCTTATGCTGAGAATAAATCAACTCTACGTGGAGATTTAATTTCCACGTCAGCATCATGTATTTAGCCATTCATTCTCATGCTGAGGAAACACTGATTCCTACAAAGTCAGAAAACTAAAAAAGTAGAGTTCATCAAAACATCTGCACGTGTGCATTAGGACTGGTTCATAATGAAAGCAAAAAGCAAGTAGTACAGAACAGCTTCTCCAGAGATTTAATTTCCAGTTTACTGAGGTCTCTAAAAAGAAGACAGGACTCTGAAAGTTAAACTAGGATTTTCAGCATAAAATATTCAAAATTTTATTCCAGTCTTATCTTTGCAGAGAAGGAGTAACTCACTTTGCATACACAGACTATGTGTCGGTTAGATCTGGTAACGGCAGTCTGCTGCTCAGAATATCAGAGATAATTTAGAAAATGCTCCCGAACTTGCAATCAATCATTAGTCCATAGAGTGCAATGCAGCAAAATCAGCAGTCTTCCAGCTTGAGCGGGGCAGAGCTTGCACAGGCAGCTGTTACCCTGTCCTTACTGCTTGCAAGATTACCCAGGTGCTGAAGGGTTTGGAGGGCATTGCACTCTGGAAATCACCAGTGTGGCTTCCCAGCAGTCTTGCTGGGCAAAAGACATCTATAGTGCAGTTCCTTCTGTGTTGTTCTGAACCTGTGCTGTACTGGTGCAGCAGAGGCCTCAGCCCCATTAGGTTTAATGATCAAGAGCTAAGTCCAAATGAGATCCTTGAGGTAAAGTTGCTCTGGGGAAGTACTAATTGTGCTAATACTGGAAAGTGAGTGAAAGCCAGAGAAAGTGATTTGGCACTTTGTGGTCAATCATTCTAAATGGTTCACTGAATATCAGCTCTTAAAGTAGGAAACAGCATGTCATTAATCCTATTGCAAACATGCCTGCTATCAGCAAAATGTCCACCTTCTGTCTGGGCTTAGCTTCTGTCTGGATTTTAAAAAGCAATTCCTGTTTGTCTTTTCAAACTGTGTAAACTATCCATGTAAGTTCGGTAAGCACGTATACTTTTTAAGATGTTCATCAAAACCTTTCTTTCTAAAAAGACTCTTACAAAATTCCTCAATTTTCCCCAATGATTATTTTATTATTTTCATTTCCCCTGCACTGTTTGTATTTGTGAAAGAGGTGATTGAATTACTAAATTATGTCTAAACTGAGGAAGGGAGAGATTCCCACAATGTTTACCCATAAGACTGCAGGAAAGTAAAAGCCAGTCAGCATCAATGTGCACTGTAATTAATCGCTGCCACAGAACCAAGTGCTATCAACACACCTGATGCCATTCACAGTCTTTTCTGGGGAAATACCACTTTTTTTTTCTCCTGTTCTTTTTTTTTTTCATTGACTGAATAATTAAATAGAAAACCAGTTTACAACTCAGCATTCCAGTAAAGCTAATTGGATTCTGAATTTTTTTGTTATTTTAAGCTATTGAAACATTACAATTACTTCCCTTGTGGTTCAAAAGAGAAAAGCAGAATGGCAATGTGCAGTAGTACAATTTTAATATTTGCTGCCCTTTGCAATTACTAGCTTTTAGCTGGTTGATCTGAGGCTTGACCATTACTTCTCATATGTAATCTTTTCATCATGCGGTCGTACATTTTCTGAACAGCCACAACCTGCAGTCAGTTTAAAGAAGGACTGACCAGTCACAGTTTATCTCTGATGAGAGAATAGAGGGCATAGATCAACAATATCCTGACTCTTCCTCAGTATTAGCTGATCTGGCAAAGAAACCCGTGGAGTGTAGATACGTCATATTGAATTAAAAGGGGAATTACAGGAGGGGCATGCCTGAAGTACCCAGCACAGATTATCACAGCCAGCTGTGTTTTTTTCAAGTCTTGTTGTAAATTGTTTTTGATAGAGAACAAGTTGTTGACCTTACAGTAGGAGGGATATCTCCTTTTGAGCCAGCTGGCTAGATTGAATTCTGTGATCTTACCGCAACAAATTCTAGCAATAGACAGCTCTCAGGAATTTGCTGCCAAAGCCCTCTTGTGTGCAGTACAGAAACTGCATCTCCGGAGCTGGATTGTCCCTAAAAAACTCATTAAGTTACCACCCTCGTTATGATGTCTGCAGCCACACTGGCTCCTTTAAGACCTTCCATTTCTCATATAATGTACCCTTGTGTTTGGAATATCCTGCGCAGCACAGTGAAACACTTTGCTTTTTAGCTGCCCCTCCATTAATACTCAGTCTGCGTACCAGTGAGCGTCTCTTGTTGCAGAGTGGTAAGATTTTGTGACAAATATAATCTGCTTTGTGTGCATGTTGTTAGCGCTTTATAGCAGTGGGGAAGGTGCCAGCAGAGAGAGACTGCAGTAATAATTTATGTGGCAGCGTATCACCACAGGAAGTAAAATAATATTCTGCTCTTTCATGGGAGCCAGATAAAAGGAAAACAAATCTCCAAAGCATTTTTGCCAGATGCTCATCTGAAAGAATTCCCCACAGAAACTCCAACGAGAGATCTGAATGGCTTGCTGTGTTTTCCATTTCATTACCACTCAACACTCTGTAGAGACAGGGAAAGATTACTTCATTCTCTTAATAATTTTTCGCCTTTACAGAAGGATGCAGATGACAGGAAACAGACATCTAGATATAAATACAGAGTATGCATTACGTTCCAAGTTTTTTTCCCAGCATTAATTCTTTAATTCTTCCTTCCCCACAAGCATCCACTCCAGAAAAATACAAGGATCATCTGTAGCAATGGACGTTAGTGTCACATAAGAAGTAATTAATATGCAAGTGCTGGCTTTTGAACCGGATCCTCATGCTGACAGACAGGAACAGCCTCAGCAGGGCGTGCAGGCTCACAGAGGGCTGCAGCCAGAGTACGGGCGGGTGTTCTGCGCGGATCTGTGTGATTCTGTACAGAGACCGGACTGCGGAGTGTCGGTGGGCTGCGGGGAGCCCAGCTGCAGTGGGGCCCTGTGCCCGCACACCCCTCCAGCCAGCACGGCTGGGCCCCACCATCCTGTGTGGTCCAAAATGGAGGTGCTACAATCTGCTGGCCAGCCGCCGCCTGGCTC